TCTCTTTCTTTGGAAGCTGATTTATTTACAGACGGATCCGCTGGTGACAGCGCAGGAACAGCCTGTCATGTCCTGAACGGCTAAGTACATGTAAAGTGACTGGATTACATGTCTTGGTGCTTTAACACTTTGTCATCTAAATCTAGAGCTCATGCCGCATCCACCACACGCACACACACACTTATTCACACACACATACACACCACTGAACTCATATTACTGTCTGTCCTGTACAACCTGCAAAGTTAACAGCTGTGCTTTTAAGGAAAATATAACAGAAGCCAAGAGAAGTACACATCCCATCCGTTTGCTTAATCATGGCTATATGTTAAAAAATATATATGTAGTTTTAGTGTGCACATACCAGTGTGACAGTCCAAATTCATAGTGATAATGGTATTTTTGGAAGTCAGTCCGGAGTGTCCCCTCATGTGACTCTCTGTGGCCCCAGGGCCCCCCTTGCCCCTCAGACTTCACATTACCACATGAATGGCTGGCTGCAAAGGGCCAGTTCAGCCTTGGACGCCAACAGAAGGCAGGAGATTTGCAATTCAATCTGCTCCTGGTCGGGACAGACCTGTCACCAGTGTGACAGAGGCCGAGGGGGTGGGGGACCACCACATCACTCCAGCATACATGACAGCACTGCGCCTTTCCTGAGGAGACATTTTAGACATTATGGGAACATTTAAATCACATTAAAAATAATAATTATAATCAGCAATATAATAGCTGGACTTGCAGGCGTTGTTACACTATATCTCCTTGGAGCCTGCCATTAATGAGCAGAATTTAAACAGTGAAACAATCATGACAAACAAACTTATGAACTTTATGTTCAAATTTATGTCAGTGTGGTTCAATTATGAACTCAGAATTTTTTTATATTATATATGTGTGTGTGTGTGTGTGTGTGTGTGTGTGTGTGTGTGTGTGTGTTTTTCAATAGAATAGAATAGAATAGAATAGAATAGAATAGTTCTTAGTTGTAGCACCCAAAATGTTTCCTAATTTATCTGCAATTTAATATAAATTACAAAAAATATTTTAGATTATTCTTATAAGATAACCTTTCAGTCAAAACATCTTTACGTTCGTTATAATGTATAATGGAGCAAATACACAAAGAAGAACCAAAGTTTGACCAAAGAGTCAACACACAGAACAGAAACGCCCTTACAGAAAATGGGCTCCTCAGAGGATGATGTCATTTCCGGTGAAGATAGGCGATTATTTCCGGCTTTTACAGCAACATGGCAGCGCCCTTAGGTCTGCACCTGGAGTTTGGGTTTGTATTTATCGCTTTGTTTATGATTCATCGCCTTTGCCTGTGTTCCAGTTGAATGAAAAGTCTTCAAACCAACTCGACTGAAGCTTTATCTAAGGGCCTGGGTTGATAAAGACTGTTACTTTTTCAGCGGTTTAACGGCAGTGGTGACAAGAAAAGCCGGTTTAAATTAAAAAGTAACCTAATAAAAATGAAATTCATGTTACATATTTTCTTGAAGCAGCACGCGTTCAATCACTGTCAATCACGCAGGCGTCGCGTGCACTTGAAATGGACTAAAAGAATAAACTGCTTCACTCACCTAAACTGGACAAATTAATAATCGATGTTGACGTAAACTCGGTTGGAGAAGCTTTAGTTTTAATAGAAATGAGGTTTCCGGATGTTTATAAGAAGAAACAATGGTTACATCAATGAGAAGATCTTTCAATGCTACACTGAAATGTCAGCCAGAGATGTTCCCTCGTGTCAGAAAAAGGTTTGACACACACTTTGTTTTTTAACATTATGCTTAAAGTATACTGTATATCAGAATAATACAGGTATAATTTATGATAATCAAATCATTGTTTTTCCATTAGTGGTGGATTATAGCTGCTAACTGAACGTTTTGACATTTCAGTTTATGAGGAAATGTATACTACTAAGTTTTATGGGGTATTTTTCCTCCCCATTTTGCTCCCTTTTTAATAGAATATAGTAGAGAGGGGACAGGAAATGATGTGGAAAGAGGGAGATTTTAGTTATTTATTTATTTTTTGCATTTCAACATTAACAGAACGTTATAGACTAACTTAAGCACAACTGTAAGTCCTTACAGACTGAGACATACTTATTAATAATACATACTATAACAGAGAAACAAAACAAGAAATAATTCAAATAAAAATAAAATGCATACATAAACTTTGTAGGAGTTTAAACAAAGTAATACTGATTAAACAAATCAAATCATTTCCTGGCCTTATAGCCTCTCATAATCTTTACAACCTCAGGAAAAAAGGAAGAATGGAATTTGGAAAATTTGACAGCTGGATTCGAATCATATAAGAATCACAACTCAAGATGTCAGATCATGTGCACTAACCGCTTAACCACAGCACAACCTCTAGACAACTTTCTGAGGAGAAAAAATAGGCTGTGTTTGGAATACATACTTTCCTGTATACCCTGAATATTGCCAGAATGTGAAACGGTACAGATTATCCAACAACAAACCTTTCACACAACGTCATTTCATTGTGCAGTTCAGCGAATGCTGTTCACTTATAATCTTGTAAATGATCATGGCTTTTTTTTTTTTATCAAATGTTGTGTTAAAATGTTAAGACGTGCAGCTGCATAATCACATAATGAGTCAAAAAGATGTGTTGAGCACATTGTATTGTGAAATACAGTATCCAACATAGTACCCTCTGTTGTATACCGCACTTTTTGACAAATGTACTAGGCCATCAGGGTATACCATGCATACAGAAAAGTTGCATACTGTGCTCAGTACATGTATTGTATATTACAGAAATAATAAGTGTAGTATGGTGGTATGCTATTTAGAAACATAGGCATAAAGCGACAGAGAACTTAGATGGCATCAGAGTGACAGAAAGACAGAGCTTCTCAAAACAAATCTTGGCCAGAATTCACTGGATAGCTGCTAACTGAACGTTTTGACATTTCAGCTTATGAGGAAATGTGTACTACTAACTTTTATGGGTAACATAGCAGAGAGAGGACGGGAAATGATGTCAAAAGAGGGAGATTTTATTTATTTATTGCATTTAATCATTAACAGACATTTATAGGCTAACTTAAGCACAACTGTAAGTCCTTACAGACTGAGACATACTTATTAATAATACATACTATAACAGAGAAACAAAACAAGAAATAATTCAAATAAAAATAAAATGCATACATAAACTTTGTAGGAGTTTAAACAAAGTAATACTGATTAAACAAATCAAATCATTTCCTGGCCTTATAGCCTCTCATAATCTTTACAACCTCAGGAAAAAAGGAAGAATGGAATTTGGAAAATTTGACAGCTGGATTCGAATCATATAAGAATCACAACTCAAGATGTCAGATCATGTGCACTAACCGCTTAACCACAGCACAACCTCTAGACAACTTTCTGAGGAGAAAAAATAGGCTGTGTTTGGAATACATACTTTCCTGTATACCCTGAATATTGCCAGAATGTGAAACGGTACAGATTATCCAACAACAAACCTTTCACACAACGTCATTTCATTGTGCAGTTCAGCGAATGCTGTTCACTTATAATCTTGTAAATGATCATGGCTTTTTTTTTTTTATCAAATGTTGTGTTAAAATGTTAAGACGTGCAGCTGCATAATCACATAATGAGTCAAAAAGATGTGTTGAGCACATTGTATTGTGAAATACAGTATCCAACATAGTACCCTCTGTTGTATACCGCACTTTTTGACAAATGTACTAGGCCATCAGGTTATTCCATGCATACAGAAAAGTTGCAGAAATAATAATACTACAGAAATAATTAGTGTAGTAAATAATAATATTACAGAAATAATAAGTGTAATATGCTGTTCTGAACATAGCCATAGAGCGACAGAGAACGTAGATGGTATCAGAGGGACAGAAAGAGAGACAGCTTCTCAAAACAAATCTTGGCCAGAATTCACTGGGTGCAGAAAAATTTTGCATTTGGCTTTTGGTCAAAGTCCTCACTGCTTTCAAGTCGCAACAGAGTCCTATGTGACTGTCTATGGACAGAGGTGGTGTTTGTGAGTGGCCTTTCTGAGGCTGGCACACAGGCTGGCTTCTCTCTGTGCCGCTAGTGTACGGGCATCTCGCCAGGCCTGGCGATCTGGAGGACAACTGGGCATTCTCCAGGAGATGTGAGCTCTCTTTATTGGGCCTGCACCTGCTACATGAGTCCTACTCTGACTTCATGTCCCTATCTGTTTTTTGTTTTTTTCCACTGACATGCACCTTCTCTCGTTCTTACACGGATCTCTGTCACTTACTGAGTTGCATTATTAAATGCTGCTTGATTACTTAAATGTTGCTTAAATGCATATTGTGATTTTATCTTCTTTGTGATCAATATGTTGGTCTTCACATCTTCTTTTATGTGTTTATGCAAGTTATAATGTAAGTTTTGTATGGTTTTTTTTGTTGTTGTTGAAGAAAGTACAGTGTTGATGCCCTCTATGCAACCTGGTGCTCTTCAAGAGTGCTATTCCGTCTTGCTTAAAATCATAAAATATATATGTGTGTGTGTGTGTGTGTGTGTGTGTGTGTGTGTGTGTGTGTGTTTTTCAATAGAATAGAATAGAATAGAATAGAATAGAATAGTTCTTAGTTGTAGCACCCAAAATGTTTCCTAATTTATCTGCAATTTAATATAAATTACAAAAAATATTTTAGATTATTCTTATAAGATAACCTTTCAGTCAAAACATCTTTACGTTCGTTATAATGTATAATGGAGCAAATACACAAAGAAGAACCAAAGTTTGACCAAAGAGTCAACACACAGAACAGAAACGCCCTTACAGAAAATGGGCTCCTCAGAGGATGATGTCATTTCCGGTGAAGATAGGCGATTATTTCCGGCTTTTACAGCAACATGGCAGCGCCCTTAGGTCTGCACCTGGAGTTTGGGTTTGTATTTATCGCTTTGTTTATGATTCATCGCCTTTGCCTGTGTTCCAGTTGAATGAAAAGTCTTCAAACCAACTCGACTGAAGCTTTATCTAAGGGCCTGGGTTGATAAAGACTGTTACTTTTTCAGCGGTTTAACGGCAGTGGTGACAAGAAAAGCCGGTTTAAATTAAAAAGTAACCTAATAAAAATGAAATTCATGTTACATATTTTCTTGAAGCAGCACGCGTTCAATCACTGTCAATCACGCAGGCGTCGCGTGCACTTGAAATGGACTAAAAGAATAAACTGCTTCACTCACCTAAACTGGACAAATTAATAATCGATGTTGACGTAAACTCGGTTGGAGAAGCTTTAGTTTTAATAGAAATGAGGTTTCCGGATGTTTATAAGAAGAAACAATGGTTACATCAATGAGAAGATCTTTCAATGCTACACTGAAATGTCAGCCAGAGATGTTCCCTCGTGTCAGAAAAAGGTTTGACACACACTTTGTTTTTTAACATTATGCTTAAAGTATACTGTATATCAGAATAATACAGGTATAATTTATGATAATCAAATCATTGTTTTTCCATTAGTGGTGGATTATAGCTGCTAACTGAACGTTTTGACATTTCAGTTTATGAGGAAATGTATACTACTAAGTTTTATGGGGTATTTTTCCTCCCCATTTTGCTCCCTTTTTAATAGAATATAGTAGAGAGGGGACAGGAAATGATGTGGAAAGAGGGAGATTTTAGTTATTTATTTATTTTTTGCATTTCAACATTAACAGAACGTTATAGACTAACTTAAGCACAACTGTAAGTCCTTACAGACTGAGACATACTTATTAATAATACATACTATAACAGAGAAACAAAACAAGAAATAATTCAAATAAAAATAAAATGCATACATAAACTTTGTAGGAGTTTAAACAAAGTAATACTGATTAAACAAATCAAATCATTTCCTGGCCTTATAGCCTCTCATAATCTTTACAACCTCAGGAAAAAAGGAAGAATGGAATTTGGAAAATTTGACAGCTGGATTCGAATCATATAAGAATCACAACTCAAGATGTCAGATCATGTGCACTAACCGCTTAACCACAGCACAACCTCTAGACAACTTTCTGAGGAGAAAAAATAGGCTGTGTTTGGAATACATACTTTCCTGTATACCCTGAATATTGCCAGAATGTGAAACGGTACAGATTATCCAACAACAAACCTTTCACACAACGTCATTTCATTGTGCAGTTCAGCGAATGCTGTTCACTTATAATCTTGTAAATGATCATGGCTTTTTTTTTTTTATCAAATGTTGTGTTAAAATGTTAAGACGTGCAGCTGCATAATCACATAATGAGTCAAAAAGATGTGTTGAGCACATTGTATTGTGAAATACAGTATCCAACATAGTACCCTCTGTTGTATACCGCACTTTTTGACAAATGTACTAGGCCATCAGGGTATACCATGCATACAGAAAAGTTGCATACTGTGCTCAGTACATGTATTGTATATTACAGAAATAATAAGTGTAGTATGGTGGTATGCTATTTAGAAACATAGGCATAAAGCGACAGAGAACTTAGATGGCATCAGAGTGACAGAAAGACAGAGCTTCTCAAAACAAATCTTGGCCAGAATTCACTGGGTGCAGAAAAATTTTGCATTTGGCTTTTGGTCAAAGTCCTCACTGCTTTCAAGTCGCAACAGAGTCCTATGTGACTGTCTATGGACAGAGGTGGTGTTTGTGAGTGGCCTTTCTGAGGCTGGCACACAGGCTGGCTTCTCTCTGTGCCGCTAGTGTACGGGCATCTCGCCAGGCCTGGCGATCTGGAGGACAACTGGGCATTCTCCAGGAGATGTGAGCTCTCTTTATTGGGCCTGCACCTGCTACATGAGTCCTACTCTGACTTCATGTCCCTATCTGTTTTTTTTTCCACTTTCATGCACCTTCTCTGGTTCTTACACGGATCTCTGTCACATACTAAATTGCGTTTATTAAATGCTGCTTGACTGCTTGAATGTATACTGTGATTTTGTCTTCTTTGTGATAAATATGTTGGTTCTCACACCTTCTTTTATGTGCTTATGTAAGTTTTGTAAAACATTTATTTATTTTTGAAGAAGAAGAAAGTACAGTGTTGATGCCATACATACAACCTGGTGCTCTCCAAGAGTGTTATTCTTTCTTGCTTAAAATCATAAAATATATATTTTTTTTTAATCTCTTTGACATTAAATGACAAAATATTAAGGACAAGAAACAGTGTTTTGCCATAGACTAGATGTTAAGTCATTTAAAGCTGCATGGAGGATACTGCTAAATGATTTTAGAAACAGGAGAACATTTACTGAACATTTAATGTTGTTGAAGGTCTACCTGTAAGAGCCAATAACAGCATTATGCACGCTGTGTTTTTTTTTCCTGTTTTAGAGGAGGAGCTGAACTTCTCTTTGATGGGGTCAAGAATCATCATGTGACACTCCCTGGCCAATCAGATCCCTGTGAGTATGTAAAAATATATACCTTGTCTGTTGTGTTCATGGAGTTACTATTACTCATAATTATAACAAACCCCTAACTAAGTATTAAAAGCACAATTCACCCAAAAATGAAAATTCTGTCATTTACATGCTGTAATGATGTTCTAAACGTTTTTTTGTGTGACTTTATTTTGTGGAATGCTGTTTTTGTCCATATAATGAATGTCACTGGGGTCCAAAATATAAACACTTTTTCAAAATACCTTAATTTCTGTTCCACAGAAAAGCAAAGTGATATATGTTTGGAAATTACTTGATGAAGGAATTTCCTTTTTGGGTGTCCATTTAACCTTAAGTCTGTAACGTATCTTGCACTGTTTGTGTTAGGGTGCGTTCACACTTCGGTTCTCTTGGTTTGTTTGGTCTGGACCAAAAAAGAAAGCAATACATTTGGTCCTGGTCTGCTTAGCGTTCACACTGGCATTTTTGACAGTGAACCTAAAGATACCGAACCTAAAGGCATAGTCGTATGTCCACAACCTGATTGGTCGGGTTGAATGACACATATTTTGTGACGGGACTTACCGAACACCCCAAACAATAGGTGTGTTCGATTAAATCGCTCATTGTTGTGTGTACATATGATTTAATTTTTACCACCTGCAAACTCACAAAGAGCTCATAAAAGGCACTTTACCTCGTTGCTCCACGTTTGCCGTCTGCTCATTTTGTTTTGGATACACCGCTCGTTCCGCGTTGTCAAATCATGTCACATCTTGTCATTACATCCTATTTTTGGTTCATTTAGAAGTATTTGGTCCATGTCGCATTCATATTTCATTCGAACCACACCAGAGTTCGTTTGGAAGCGGACCGAGACCCATGTTTTTTGTTTGGTTCGCACCAGGGTTCGGATGGCAGCGTTTACCCTTACTCAAATGAACCGCACTAACAGAGCAATCGCACCAGAGTTCGTTTAATCGCACCAAACATGACAAGTGTTTGTTAGCTATGTTACTAAAACACCTTTAGTGACATACCTCCAATCATTTGACTTGTTGAGGACAGGAAAGTAACCACCAAGCAATGCTCTAGATACCACCCAGAACACCCCAGCAACCACAGCAATGTATCATTAAACCTGTAGTGTTCTGCCAGTTGTTTAGCACCTTTTCTATACCAAGCCAGTGCTTTACTATTCCCTGCACTGGTGACTTAATTAGCTCCAAATATCCTCTGCCTTTCTCTCCCAATGCCAGAGATTCGGAAGTAAGATTCACTTATTGGCCTTTCTCTGCTATTCCTATAGAAGAGAGTCACACAAATCATAGCAAATTATGTGGCTCTTTCTCCACATCTATCTTTTTTCTGCCTTCCCTCTGCCTGATGAACTTTTCCCATTCGCCTCCTTTCCTCCCCTGACCTCTGAGCCCTGGTTCACACGCTTCCCTGGAAACCTTTTCTTCTAGCCAGTCCTGCTTTCACCCTGACGCTGGGCCAATGGTGAACCAGTGCCGGCTTGCCATCACAAATCAGGTTTTTTTCAGCCTCCACCCACCCCTCCCTCCCTCAGCAACAATGGAGCTGAGCCCCTTCTCCATACATCCCACCTCCCCCTCAACCACCAACATCTGTGAGCCTCCCTGCACCCAGCCATTCTTCCCCTAACTGCTCCATTATTCGGCCCCTTTCACTTGTAAATGCAGCCAGTGATACTGTTGATGGATCTTTTATGCCTAGTGCTGGGGTCACAGTAAAGGTATGGAGAATGGAGGGCCAGTAAAGGAGGGAGTGACAATTGTTACAAAGCACTAAGTCCTTTTTGTGTGCAGTCATTTTTTGGGTTGCCTGACAGTACAAATGCCTCACTCCTACAAACACCTTGCGTTCCTACAGCTTCCTGGTGGGACATTTGGGTAAAAGTGGTGGGATGTTTGGTTGTGGGGGAGCACTTGTATTGCCCCCTGTATTTAAGCACAGAGTGGGTAACGTTCTCTGCCATCACTGGATTGGAAGGCAAGTCATTTGAGAGTCATTAGTGCAAAAGATGGATTAGGAAAGCGAGTGCATATTCTCAGAAGTTCCTGCCTGGAAGAATTGTAGATTACATTTTTGATCAGTAGATGATTTATTAAGCTACATCATGGTACTCTCGTGAACGCGCGTTGAAGACTGACACAGAAAAGAAGAAATTGTTGAATAAAGTCATTATTTTTGTTTTCTGTGCACACAAAACGCATTCTCGTAGCTTCATAAAATTACAGTTGAACCACTGATGTCACATGGACTATTTTAACTATGTCCTTATCACCTTTCTGGGCCTTGAACATGTCAGTTGCATTGCTGTTTATGCCGTGTCAGAAAGCTCTCGGATTTCAAAAATAAGATATCGAAAATATGGGTCTTATGGGTTTGGAACGGCCAAGAGGGTGAGTAATTAATGACAGAATTTTCATTTTTGGGTGACCTATCCCTTTAGACATGGTTCTGCAAGGTCAACTTTGGTAACTCAAGGATGATCCAGCTGTTTAGCTGTTCAGAAAATATTAGGATTTGTTGAGATTTTTGTGGTAGCCTAGTAGTAGTACTCTTTATTTATAGCCAGTCACTTTACCTGCCTGTACATTGGCCTTAGTCTTTTCACTTGGGGTCTGAGGTGTATTGAACAGAAATAGAACTTTTGGCCAAGTGTGTTAGTATTTTTGCATCCCTGTCCCAGCTCTGAGGTTGGGAACATTTGTATACACTTGTACTTTGGTGGCCTTGCCAAACAAGAGAAGGGTCAAGCTCTGTGGCACCAGAGTATCCACGACAACCTGTCCACAAAAGTGGACGGCAGGAGGGAATGTGGCCACTGAGACCTCGCAGGGGCCTGGGGGATGACCTTGGAGCACTTTTGAAGCCCATAGTCCATACGCATGTTTGTGGGCATGATTTGAGTATGTCACGGATGACTGGCTATGTTTGCTAAGGCTGACACTAACGCTCAACACTAATCCCGCCTAAATTTTCTGTCCACTGGTCCACAGTGATTGATGAGTAGTGCTGAGCCCCCCGCTGCCGGACACACACACACACACACACGATCGTCACAGAAACGCCAACCCTCATATCCCAAGCAAGATGAATGACTTCATTCCCTCCCACCCACAGATAGTGGCGATAATGCTGATCGTCATGCAAAGTGAAAGGAAACGAAGAGAGTTAGCCAGCCACTATGCTACACAGACGCCGCCACCCTCCCACGCATTCCTTATCCCAGTATGCACCTGTCTGCAGTGACGCATACTCCCCCCTCCCATTCGTTTTTTCCCTCGGTCTCCTCCTACCTCACCATGACCTATCCAGTTCTTTTCGTCTTCCATTCTATCTCGAATGAGGGCGAAAGAGACGTGGGGCATCTTGTTGACCCCTCACTCTTTGCCCCTGGCTCACATAAACCACCCTTTGTACGAGAAAGCGAAGTAGGAGACTCTCGCTTCGTTTTTTTTTTTTCAACTTCCCCCAATCAAAGGACTGATGTGGCTGAAAGTGATCACGTCTGTTTTTTGCCCCTGCTTTTGGTGCTAGTCAATATTCATTGTGGTAGCATAGCACTGAGGCAAGCATCACTCTTCTTTATAGGTTCAGGATTGTGGGCTAGCCGAGCTGCAAGGTACAACGATCGTTACACAACTGAAGAGGCTGACAGCGATCCAATTAACCTGAAACAGCCTCTGTTGCTCGACCCCTGCCTCTCGCTGAGAAGCACGCCACACGCTTACAAGCGCACACACTTGCACGCATTGGTGCTGACATCTCTGAAAGCTTCAGTTCTGGTGGAAACTTGCCCAGTCGAGAGTATTGTATAGACCCGCACTCCTGCACCCACTTGCCCTCTTCTTTCGTCCTCTTGCTAATTTGTCCTGGTCTAATTATACACGCTTGCATAGCCAGTTAGCTGTAGCACAACTCCGCAAGCGACTACATCTACTGGTCATCATGTTTTCTCAAATTCATCAAGGGTTTCCCAGCCCCCCTTCACAGGTTCTCTGGTTCTAGTCACCATACCTGAGACCTAAATGTCCATCCCTGCTGCTCGAATTGAGATTGAGGTGTCAGTAAAATCTACCACCACATGCAGAGTGCGAGAGGACGGTGTTCATTGTTAAATGTTGCCAAACGCCTCAGTTAATGGAACTCCTTTAAAAAAAAATCTTCCCTTATGGGATTTACAGCCGAGATATGTGCTGACACACATAAGAACACCTACACAGACATTGCCAGCTATCCTGTAATGCCCCTTCAAATACGTCCAAGGATTATATAAAATGAAATTGCATTAAAGTCTTGTGGTAATATTTACATCCTATTTATTTCAACGATTCAGGTAAGTTATAAATGTTGTTGTGGATGTTTATTCACACAAGGATTAAACATATGCACAGGATTATATTGCAGAACAGGGATCAGCAGCAGTATGGATTTTTTTTTTGTGCAGGTGAGTCCATGCATGTGTTCGGATAGGGTCGGCAATGCGGTAGCTATTTTTGATGTTTTTCAGAGCGCCGTCTCTGATGTCACATTTCCAATAAGTGTAATGGCCTTTCTTACAGATGATGTTCAAGAATACAAAATACGCTAAGTGCGCAATTTGTGTCCTCAGCCTTAACAATGTCAACCACAGCAAACTCGCAAACAATAAATTCAAACTCCTCCCCATATCAAATGAAAGCATCTCCATCTCTTTCTTTTTCTTTTTTCTCCCCCCTCTTCCTCACTCTTTCTCCGTCTTTGTCCTCCCCCCTCTAAGCAGAAAATTGGTACATTCCAGAAATGGAGGCTGATGATACAATGTAAATGTTGGACATACCGACTTGTCTGCCATGTTGGACAGCTGGACTTCATTGCTTACACACATGTGCAGATATAAAACAGTTATCCATCATCACATGCTAAAACTATCACACGTCTTGAAGGCCAAACTTTAATGTCCTTCAATTAGTGGAATAACAGCCAGTAGCTTTGATTGGATAATATTTGCATGGCTAAAGTAAATTGTGTAACAATCAAGCAAACATTCCAAGCAAAAATTTAGAAAAAAATTTCACGCAGACTTTTTATCGTAGGCTTACAACGGTCGTCTGCCTAAGCACATTTTGTTTTCATGGGGGGGTGTGCAGACATCCTAGATTTCAGTTGAATTCTCATAGGACCGCTGGGTTTATATCCATCAATCTTTACCACGACCCCCCCCACCCCCCCCC